AGAGAGACACATCAACTGGCTGCCACCCGCACAACCCCAACCAGAGCAGGGACGAACTGCAACCAAGGTACAGACTCTTAGCAGGAACTGAACCTAGGACTCCCTGGTCTGCGGGCCAACGCTCTAACCGCTGAGCCAAACCGGCCAGGGCTGATAAGAGAATTTTTTAACAATGAATTAGAAAATTGAGGATTGCATGGGCAATGCCCTTGAAAAATATGATTTATTAAAACTGACTAAAAAATAACTAGAAAACTTGAATATGTTTAAATGATTAAAGAAAACTTTAATCATTAAAGGAACTAAATCAATATTAAAAACCTATACCCAAGATATATGTATATACACACATGCGCATGCATGCACACACACATCTTAGCTCTGTCCACTGAGATGTTGTATAAACAATGAGCATAACTAGTGTGCAGGGCCTCTCTTGGAGAAAAGGCTAATTCCAGAGAGTACAAGATCAACCTGTAAAAGCTCAGAGTGAAGGATAGCTTGTGAAATAAAAACCAATAGAACTCAAAGGAGACAATTTCACAATTATATTTGTGGACTTCAACACCTTCCTCTCAACAATCGATAGAACTCCTAGACAGAACACTGGCAAGGATACAGAATATCTGAACACCACAATCAATCAATAGTATCTAATTCACACACACACACCCTCTTACTTTTTCTCTCCCCGCCCAACAGCAGAAGCCACATTTTTCTGAAGCATCCATGGAACATTCACCAACACAGTAACCTGAAGGCATAAAACATCTCAACAAATTTAAAATAACATCAAACAGAAGTTACTCTCTGACCATGACAGAATTAAACTAGAAATCAATAACAGGTAACAGGAAAATCTCTAAGCAGATGGAAATTGATGACAACCTGCCCTTGCCACACAGGCTGTGTCTGGACACAATTCCACCCATGCCACAGGGGACTGGGTGAGGCAAGGAAGCCCTCTCTTAGGTGATCACAACCACACTGCGAGCCCTCAAAGCTGGAAAAGACCTTGATGTGGAATGTGGGCGACAGCTGGCAGAGAGATCCATGACTGAAGAGAGGAAAGGCCCAGAGAGACAGAGAAGCAGAGTGAGGGGTCTTATAAAGATCACAGAGAGGCCCTGGCCAGTTTGGCTCAGCGGTTAGAGCGTCGGCCTATGGTCCAGAGAGACCCGGTTCAGTTCCCGCTAAGGGCACGTACCTCGGTTGCAGTTTGTCCCCGGCCCTGGTTGGGTTGTGTGGGTGGCAACCACTCGATGTGTCCCTTTCACATTGATGTTTCTCCCTCTCTTTCCCTCCCACTCTATCTGAACAAAAAAAATGGGAAAAAAATTTCCTTGGGAGAGGATAAAAAAAAAAAGATCACAGAGAGGACGGGGAGGTGACTAAAGAAGTCAGAGGCAAGACTTCCAGTCAAGATGGTGGAATAGGTAACAGCAGTACTCGCCTCTTCCCACAATCACATCAAAATTACAACTAAACTACAGAACAATCATCATTCAGAACCAAACGACAGCGAGCTGAATGGAAGTCCTACAACTACAAAATTAAAGAAGCCACATCAAGACCGGTAAGGAGGGGCAGAGGTGAGGACTGACTAGTCCCACACCCATGTGTGGTGAATAAAAATCAGGAGGATACCTTGGCTGAGAAGGTCCTCCCTGAGGATCAAGGGGTCCCTGTCCCACACCATGCTCCCAGCTCAGGGTTCCAGTACCAGGAAGAAAAGTCCTTATCACTTCTGGCTGTAAAACCAGAGGCAACTGAGGCTGAGGGAGGCTGAGGCTGTTGGAGTCTCAGACAGTTCCTCTTGAAGGGCCCGTGCACAGACTTACTTGGACCCGCTCCTTTGGAGCTCTAACATGGTGGAGGCAGCTTGCAAGGCACCAGAGACATACAAGAAAGAACTGAGTTGCTTGGCATTGGGGTGAGAGCCAGAGGGACAGCTTTTTCCTGGACAGACCTGCTGGTGGAGGCCACTGTTACTTGGTGAGCCCTTCCCTGGGGCAGCAGATGGCAGCCCTGTACTCCAGCAACCTGGTTCACACTGTTTGCCCCGCCCTGGTGACTCCATGCAGCCCTGCCCCACCCAACCTTCAGGCCCACCCAAGCTGTTTCTAATGGCTTTACCATAAGATTGGCCTGTCTTGGATCCTGCGTCAGATTTTCCTAAAAATCTCTCAAACAAGCAGCATCTGGTCTCAGCGAGTCTCATACCTCTTGTTAAGTAGCCCCAGGCTGGCACTAGAAGCAGCCAGCCTTGGTTCACAACTTGGCTTTTCCCGGGCACCTCAAGGCCAGCACAAGCAGCAGCTGTCTGCAGATCACTTTGTAGCTTATGCCAGGTGGCCCTGGGTAGAACACAGGCAGAGGCTGACCTTGCCCCAGAGCCAGCACACCCAGTGGACAGCTTCAGACCACATCGAAGCACCACCAACCAACCACCTCCATAAGTGACACACTCAAGGAATGAACTCAGAGGGTACTAGAGCCCTGCTGAAGTAAGTCTTGCTCTGTGTGCTGGGCCTCTACACCGCTGATCCTCCAGGGGAGTCAGAGGTTAGTGGTCAGTGGCACAGCCAGTCCTTGCAGCTGATCAGCCTGAGTAAATCCTTCCCAATGACATGCCAAAAGCAATCAGGACTCAATTACAACAGAAGAATGTACAGCCACATTAGGGGTGCACCCTGAGGGCCCAGCTGGGGTGATCAAGGAAGCTGTGCCACTGGACCCTACAGGACACCTACAACCATAGGCCACCCTACAAAGCCTGGGAGACATAGCAACTCTACCTAATACAAAGAAACAAACACCAGGAAGCAGCCAAAATGAAGAGACAAAGAAACATGTCCCAAATGAAAGAACAGAACAAAATTCCAGGAAAAGAACTAAACAAAATGGAGGTAAGCAATCAATCAGACACAGAGTTCAAAACACTGGCCGGTTTGGCTCAGCAGTTAGAGTGTGGGCCCGTGGACTGGAGTCCCAGGTTCGGTTCCTGCTAAGGGCACGTACCTCGGTTGCAATGTCCCCAGCCACGGTTGGGGTTGTGTGGGTGGCAACCACTCGATGTTACTTTCTCACATCAATGTTTCTCTCTCTCTCTCTTCCTCCCTCTCTCCCTCCCACTCTATCTGAAGATACATGCAAAAATGTCCTCGGGTGAGGATAAAAACAAAAACAAAAAAACACTGGTTATACACTGGCCAGTTTGGCTCAGCGGTTAGAGCGTCGGCCTGCGGTCCAGAGAGACCCAGGTTCGGTTCCCACTAATGGCACGTACCTTGGTTGCAGTTTGTCCCCGGTCCTGGTTGGGTCGTGTGGGTGGCAACCACTCGATGTGTCCCTTTCACGTCGATGTTTCTCTCTCTCCCTCCCACTCTATCTTAACAAAGAAATGGAAAAATGTCCTCGGGTGAGGATTATGAAAAACACACTGGTTATAAGGATGCTCAAGGAACTTAGTGAGACCTTCAAGGAACTTAAGGAGTACTCCAAGGAACTCAGTGAGAACATCAACAACATAAAAAAGGACCAGTCAGAAATGAGGGATGCACTAACTGAAATAAAAAATAATTTACAGGGAATCAATAGTAGAGTAGGTGAAGCCAAAAAGCCAACCATCGATTTGGAATATAAGGAAGAAATACCCAATCAGAACAGAAAAAAAAAAAAAAAATCCAAAAAAATGAGGACAGTGTAAGGAGCCATTGGAACTTCAAGCATGCCAATGTTTGCATCATGAGAGTGCCAAAAGGAGAAGAGAGAGAACAAGAAATTGAAAACCTATTTGAATAAATAATGACAGAAAACTTCCCTCACTTGGTGAAGGAAACAGACATACAAGTCCAGGAAGCACAGAGTCCCAAACAAGATGAACCCAAAGAGGTCCACACCAAGACACATCATCATCAAAATGCCAAAGGTTAAACACAAAGAAAGAATTTTAAATGCAGCAAGAGAAAAACAGTTACCTACAAAGGAGCTCCCATAAGACTGTCAGCCGATTTCTCAAAAGAAACTTTGCAGGCCAGAAAGGAGTGGCAAGAAATATTCAAAGTGATGAAAAGCAAGGACCTACAACCAAGACCTGCAAAGCTATCATTTAGAACCGATGGCCATATAGAGTTTCGCAGATAAGAAAAAGCTAAAGGAGTTCATCACCACTAAACCAGTATTATATGCAATGTTGACGGGTCTTCTTGAAGGAGAACAAAAAAAATATGAACAATAAAATGGCAATAAATACCTATCTATCAACAATTGAATCTACAAACAAAACGGGCAAGCAGAACAGAAACAGACTCAGATACAGAGAACTTTTTGTTGCTTGCCAAATGGGAGTGGGCAGGGGGGATGGGTGAAAAAGATAAAGGAATTAAGAAGTACAAATTGGTTGTTAGACTGATGAACCTCAAAGGGAAGTGGGGAGGGAGGGTGGAAAGAGATAAACCAAAGAATTTCTATGCATATATGCATAAGCAATGGACACAAACAATAGTGTGCGGAAGGCAGTAGGGGGGCAGGACTGGGGAGGAGGGTGTCAATGGGGGGAAAAGAGGGGACGTCTGTAATACATTCAACAATAAAGATAAGTTAAAAAAAATAAAAAGAAGTCAGAGGCTCCCAGACACCAAAATATCTGGAAAGTCCCGTCACCATTCTCATTTAATCTCCTACCATCACCCAGGTGGGGAGGGCAAAAATTATCACCTCTTTCCTGAGAAAAGAGAAACGAGGACCAGAAATGGCAATCACTGACCAGGTCACAGAACTAAGTAGCAAGCCAGCCAGACTCATACAAGCCTTGGGTCCCAGCCCAGGTTCTAGCCCTCATCTGTACGCATCCAGAGTAAGGTGTGAGCCAGGCACAGTGCACCTGGCTGCTTACTATAAAACGTGTAAGTCCACTCAAAGTCAATATCAAGGTCCAGAAATTAGCCACATTCTCACAAGAAGTGCCATTCCTTACAGCTATGTTCAAGATGGCTTACTTCTTTTACAGAGAAATGAAGACTTCTCATAGCAGTTCTCAGCATGCCAGCAGTGCAGGCCGTGGTGGCGGAGGGTGGGGAAGTGGAAGCACTGGAGCTGGGCACAGAACACGTTGTCACTTTCAGACATGGCCAAGGGAAAGATGGGGTCTGGGGGCAGGAACACCTCTGAGGAACCTGTAAGGAAGACAAACAGAAGGGCTAGCCATTACAACATAATGTCAGCATCCCAACAATGTGCAGTCTTCACAGGGACTGAGGCCCCCCTAAACTGAACCTATAATCAAAGAGCTCGCAAACCACCAAGCGGAGCCGTACTGCAGTTACGACATTCATTCACAATCTCCCTTAGTTCCATTGAGTTCAGGTTTCAGCGCCAGGCCAACAGGGACCACGCCTCTGTGGAGCCAGGGAGGCAAGCACATGAATAAACCATACTGGTCTGAGAGTCAGAGGAAGACTGCACTTAGTAGTGGATGTTTAAAGGTAGAGCAACAACCCTGGCCGATTTTGCTCAGTGGTTAGAGCGTCGGCCTGTGGACCAGAGAGTCCCAGGTTCAGTTCCCACTAAGGGCAAGTACCTTTGGCCCCGGTGGGGTTGTGTAGGTGGCAACCAGTCGATGTGTCTCTCTCACACTGATGTTTCTTTCTCTCTCTTCTGCTCTATCTGAAGATAAATGAAAAAAAATTTTAAAGGGTAGAGCAATGGTTTGGCTCAGCGATTAGAGCGTCTGCCTGTGGACCAAAGAGTCACGAGTCTGATTCTGATCAAGGGCACGTACCTCAGTTGCGGTTCATCCCTGGCCCTGGTCAGGGTCATGAGGATGGCGACCAGTCAATATGTCTCTCTCACATTGATGTTTCTCTCTCTCCTTCCTACTCTATCTGAAGATAAATGGAAAAACATCCTCTGGTGAGGATTTTTTAAAAAGGTAGAGTAAAAATATGAAGAGTGAAACAATGGGTTATAACACAGTAATAAAAATGTATGAGTTCGTAGGAATAACATGAACAAATAAACAAATAGGGAAGGGGAGAGGAAAGCTCTCCCTTACAATAGAGTACTGACTGATAAATAGAGGACTCGAGAAGAAGCCCACTGCACCTGCCACAAATGCATAATTTAGGCAGAAATGTGGCTCCCACACCCACCCAGAGCATCAGCTGGCCCAGTGGAAAGCACTGGCTGTCTGGGACCCACTCCTAGCTCCAGGGAGATGCTCTGTCATCCACTCAGCTACTGCCTTCTAAGCTGGGTATCAGGCGATCAGAAACCACACCAACCTTGCAGCCCAGGACAGGGATGGAGGGATGTTGAGGGAGAGGGCCATGAACTGCTAAGCCTCTTTTATAAGTCCTAAGAATCCTAACAGTCTCCTGACCTTTCTCCCTCGAGATTTAATACTAATTGGCAAGCCCTAATCCTGTAAACAGCAGTTGGGGTACAATGGGCAACAACGACTTGCCCTGTGGAACTGACATTTGAGTGAGGGGTGTCAGTAGAGACAGATGCTAAACAATAGAGTAAATGAAGTATACATGTTGGAAGGTCATGGCTGCTTCAGCAAAAAGAAAGCTGGAACAGAAGTGAAGGCAACCCTCAGAACAGAGAATGGAGGAATGGGTGTGCTGACATTTCTGACACTGCTTGGGTTGGGGGGTCCCATGCCATCCACAAGCTCACAACTTTGCTAGGACTCGAGGAACCCTGCATCTAGGTATAGTCATGGCTAAGATTTATTAGTGATGTGGCAGGATACACCAGTAGCAAGGGGAGGGACAGCTCAGGTGAAGTCTGGAAAAATCCAGGCCAGGCTTCCCCAGCACTCATCCTCCAGGCAAGAAGGTGCCATGGATCGGGCCACTGCCAGCAGCACTGCAAAACATTTCTGCTCAGAAAAGCCGGGGTGCTGACCTCTGGCCCACCACAATTCCAGACTTGACAAGGGAATCAGGTGTTCATCACAAATCCCTGTTTGTGCAGTCCAGGCAGCCTGGCACAGCAGGCTCCACTTAATCTCCAGGTCAGTCCCGGATGCTAGCCAGGGCCAGCCTGGCTACACTGTCTTCTCCTGCACTGCACTGGAATGAGCCCAGAGCTGGGAAGCAGTGGCCCAGGGAGGGCTTCAGTGGGAACAAACGTGACCTATGGGAAGAGCAGGTGAGACGAGCAGGCATCCCCGTAGCTGAAGAGGAGGGCCAGGAAAGTGGTGGCAGGGGTTAGCCGAGGAAAGGGTACTGTAGGCCTTGGTGAGGACAGCGCCTTTTTGGGAGGAGAGTCATGAACAGCCGGGAGCAGAGGAGTAGAGGACAATCGGGCAGCTATGTGAGGAGATTGGGATGGGTGGGAGTGGAAGCAAAGAGACCAGGCTGGCAGCAGTGGCTGCAGTAATTTAGGTGACTGACAGCAGACCTGGTGGCCGCAATCTGGCAACCAGTGATGAGATTCTGGACGTGTATGGAAGAAGGTGACATATGAGAGGAGTCAGGGAAGATCCCTACCTCTCTGGCTCTAGCAGAATCCTCTATTTTATTTTATTATTATATTTTTAAAATTGATTTTTAGAGGGTGGGGGAGGGATGGGGAGAGAGAGAAAGTTGATCGGTTGCCTCCCATATGCACTCCAACAGAGAATCAAATCCACAACCTGGGTATGTGGCCTGACCAGGAACGGAACCCACCACCTTCTGGTATACAGAGAGACAATGCTCCAACCAAATGAGCCACATGAGCCAGGGCAGATTGCTCTATTTTAATTCTATCTGCTTGATAGCTTTCCTTTAAGTTTTGGATTTCTGAACTTCTCTGTCCTAGAAAGCTTGTCCTTCCCTCCCTGGCTCATACCAGGTACACACTTTGTGTGATCATTTTTATGCCCTAATTAAAGTCCTTAACTATAAAAGGAGGGAAGGTTGGTCTAGAAATCTGGCCAAATAAGAAGCAACCCTGGGTTCTAGAAGAGGCCCCAGCCTGGAAAAGGGGCCTGCGCGTGGGGCACCTGCCCGTCATCACAGCTCTCTCCACGATGTGGGGCCCATTCCTCTCCATGTCCCTTGCATCAGGTTCTCCTACAGACCAGGCACCACCGATGAGAGGAGATTGGGGAAAGGGAGGAGACTCTTAGCAATATACTCCTCTTCAGAATGGTATATCTCAACTTTAAACTGTCAACAACTCTTCTGAAAAATCATAAAGGCTTACCTTTTTTTTTTTTTTTAATTTATTGATTTTTAGAGAGAGAGAGAGAGAGAGAGAGAGAGAAACAATTTGTTTCACTTATCAAGGCATTCATTGATTGATTCTTTTTTGTTTTTTTGTTTTTTCCTCACCCGAGGACATTTTTCCATTTTTTTGTTCAGGTAGAGTGGGAGGGAGAGAGAGAGAGAAACATCGACGTGAAAGGGACACATCGAGTGGCTGCCACCCGCACGACCGACCAGGGCCGGGGACAAACTGCAACCGAGGTACGTGCCCTTAGTGGGAACCGAACCCGGGTCTCTCAGGACCGCAGGCCGACGCTCTAACCGCTGAGCCAAACCGGCCAGGGCCATTGATTGATTCTTGTATGTGCTCTGACCAGGGATCAAACCTGAAACCTTGGCGTATCGGGATGATGCTCTAACCGACTGAACTACCTGACCAGAGACCAGAAAGGCTTACCTTTGAATGCTACCTCCCAGTGGCCTCCTAAGGAGCGGTTCCGGCTGGTGACAATATACTGGTAGCCAACCCACAACCTGCAAGAGGGCAGAAATGTAAGTGACTTCAGCATGGCAGCAGGGAAGCAGCCACTGATTGTATATGAGTGTATTTTAATAATACACTGACCATTAAAGTATTGAACTTCTAATGTACTAATGATTTTTTAAAGGTTTTGATAATTTTATTTTTCTTATTATTATTTTTTTTAATCCTCACCCGAGGACATTTTTCCATTTTTTGTTCAGCTAGAGTGGGAGAGAGAGAGAGGGAGAGAAAGAAAGAAACATTGACGTGAAAGGGACACATTGAGTGGCTGCCACCTGCCCGACCCAACCAGGGCCGGGGACAAACTGCAACCAAGGTATGCGCCCTTAGTGGGAATCAAACCCGGGTCTCTCAGAACTGCAGGTTGATGCTCTAACCGCTGAGTAAAACCGGCCAGGGCAGAAAAAGTTTAATATTGAGTGACTCCTGCCAAAACTGTTATTAGTTGATCCAATAAAGCTTTTACATTCTAAGCATTCGGGGTGGACACAGAGCCCTGTGAATAAAACTCTGTGAATACACTAAAGGCACAGAGTAGTACTCTGTAAAGAAGTGAATCTGATGGCATGTGAATTAATCTCAATAAAAACCAAATCCCTGTAAGTATACACTGCAGTGGTGGCTAAAAGCAAGCTCATAGCCTCCAGCTGGGTCCCCTGCTCAGAGCCAGTTTGCTCAGGTCTGCAGCTGCTCCTGAGTGCATAAGTCAAAGCATTGAGAGGGCAGTGCACACAGACGTGGTCCATTGCCACACCCACCTGCTGAGTGTGCGCCCTTCACCCAAGCATTCTAGCCCAGCCCTGGAGATGCCTTCAGCAGGTCCACCGCCACAGAGGGAACCCTGGCATGGTGCCACTCTGCCCCTTCAGCCTATTGCCATGCACATGACCACTTTGAGAAGACAGGATGCTTCCCCATTTCCTGGGCTGAGCCCTCTCACTTTTCCATGAACTTACAACCACCCTGTGAGCTAGGAGTTATTTTTCTCACTTCATAGCTGCAGAAGAAAAAAACAGTAGTTTCATGATTTTCCAAATGTCATTGGGTATGATGGTAGAGCTCAAACTCAGCTCTAGTCTTAAAATGAAGGCTCTCTATCCACCTGACATGATCTATTCCTATAGCAGCCTGAGCCATTGCTGGGAGGGCATACTGGCTGGCTGGCGACCTCTGCAATTCACACTCCTGCCCCCAGTAATGTGTATGGGGCAGCATAAGGCCATACACCACAGGCCACAGCACATGCCTGCCCCATAACCCGGGGGTTGGGAGATGCTGGCAGTTGGCTAGTTTCCACACTTTCTTCTCAATGCTACAGAGTGTGGGGGTCAAGAGCCAGGCTCTGGAGCCAGACTGCCTGGGTTGGAACCCAGGCACACTCTAGCTAGTGTGTGCACATGGTCATGTGCTTGCCCACCGGGGCCACAGTCTTCTTGCCTACCAGCCCCCTGTGGTTTCTTTGAGGACTGAACAATCGAGCCCATGAAAAGCACTGAGCAGAGGGCCTGGCAAAGCCCACGTTCTCAGAAGAGACTACCACCCACCTATGCACCCCTTATGCCAGGCCCACAAAGGCCCATAATGAGCAGCCCCTCCTGACGCAGGCCAGGTTAGCAGTTGCAGCTGAACCTAGAGAAGAGGACCAATGAAAGGGACTGGCCCAAGGTGGTACAATGTGGCAGCCTATTTCTGCCCCTCCAAGAGCCTCTACCCCATCTCAATACCCACTCTAAACCCCTGGATCTCTATTTATTTCCAGTGAGTGGAGCTACTCATCCCCAAAATGCTGGCTGCTGGCTATGCCTTAGGACTGTCACAGTGGGCAAGAGGCCATGTGCCTGTTGGGCACTGGCCCAACCCCAGGGCCCTGTCCCCACCCACAACTCACTTGTGCTGGTCCTGCCAAGCAAAACTCCGCTCTGGCTGGTCCCATTCCTGGGCCAGGACGAAGCGCAGCTCCTGGTCAGTGGAGAAGGTGGCAAGGGAGCCATTGACGCGCTGGCAGGTTTGTGCAGCATCCCAGTAGTTTTCCCCGTTCAGGTAGACCCTGTAGCAGCTGGCCGTGCCTTCATAGTGGTGCCATCCTGTTGGGCACTTCCCTAGGAAACATGAAGGACAGAAGGGGAGTTGTCCCCCCAAATTAGGATCCTCACTCCAAAACAAAATTATATATGCTGCTCAGAAATCGCCCTAGAGAAATGGAGACACAAGTCCAAGAGGGAAAGCTCTGCCTCTGGGACCACGTATTTTGTGGAATACTCAAGTTTCTCTAAGATACAGATGCAACCTAAAGTACGAGTATATTCAGCGATTCCTCCCATTTCTACACTTGATCTCAGTTAAAAGGCCAAGAAGCGATTTTTCCTCCCATGTCTATAAGGTCTTTCATTTACCTGGCAGTAAAGACAGGCTGCTGGCCCTGGCTGGTTTGGCTCAGGCCTCGGCCTGAGGACCAAAGGGTCACGGGTCTGATTCCCAGTCAAGGGCACATTCCTGGATTGCAGGTTTGATCCCCAGTTGGGGTTGTGTGGGAGGCAACCAATCAATCACTCTCTCTCTCTTTCTCTTTCCCTCCCTCTTTCATTTTCACTAAAAATCAATGGAAAGTTCTGGCCGGTTTGACTCATCAGTTAGAGTGTCGGCCTGTGGACCAGAGTCCCAGGTTTGGTTCCCACTAAGGGCAAGTACCTCGGTTGTAGTTTGTCCCTGGCCCCAGTGGGGGTTGTGTGGGTGGCAACCACTCAATGTGCTTCTCTCACATCGATGTTTCTCTCTCTCTCTTCCTCCCTCTCTCCTTCCCAATCTATCTGAAGATAAATACAAAAATGTTCTTGGGTGAGAATAAAAAAAAAAAAAATCAATGGAAAAATATCCTCAAGTGAGAATTAACAAAAAGAAGACGACGGACTGCTGAATTCTTTCGATACAGTGGATTTCATTCTCTAATTAAGTCTGGTTGACAAGATGGCAGAACTGCCCATGCTGGCTCACTACAAAGCCTGGTGGGAGTGAGCAAGGAGGCTCCCTATCCACCCAAATGCTGGCTCTCTAGCCATGCTACTAGCAAGCCCACAGCTTCCTGAGCCAACTCCTCTGCCCTGTTCACTGTTCACATGGGTGCTGGCCAGTGCTCCCCTAAAACAGGAGCTCCAGAGAACATAGCTAGAAGGGCCACTGAGATTGTGGGACCAACTCCTGTCTCCCAGAGATGAGAAAATGAGGCCCAGGTGTTTCCACAGTGGGCAAAGGCTGAGTAGCCAGTTGAAGTCAGATTCTTTGATAGATGAGCTGGGCCAGACATCTCCTTGACAGGTGGACCTGCCCCGAAGATTGGCATGGCTGGCCTTGGGTAAGGGCAACAACCTGTTCTACAGGATCTATAACTATCAAATACTGGGGTACCTACCTCCTAACTAGGAGTACACTGATGAAGAGTAACAATTTTTTACAAAGCCAGTTAACAAAATGCAATTTTTAAATGCATCTACATCCTACGGAACTAGTAAAACTTCTTAAAAACCGATGCTTGTGTTTTTATTATTTAGAGCACAGGTGTGTAACTAATGAACAATGGGACCTAGATTACATGAGAAAAGGTACCTCTGGCCCCAAGCCTACAAGGCATACTCCAGCACTGCTGCAACGCAGCGGGACAATGCCACCTGCCCACGGAGCTCACAGGAAGGCCTTCACTGCAGACAGGAGCCTCAGGAATCACCAACCAGGGAAGGGGAAGGTGTGTGGAGTGTGTGGAATGAGTATGACAACACGGGGATCACCAGGTGGCCTTTTATTGAGTGTTTTCTGAGCTCTCTACTACCATGATGTGTTTAATCTGCTAAAGCCTCCGCCCCAGGGGATTCCATCCTGTCTCCAGAGGCTGAGTATCTCAGTTGGTGAGTGTCAGCTCAGGCTTCCATTTTGGCTCTTCACCCACACATCTTGGGATGGGTCTAGAGGAAGCCCTCTGGGGACAGAAGCCAGTGATAGAGGAAACAGAGAGAGGGAACATCTTTTCTACCTGTTGAATTTTGTGGAATTATTCCCTAGGTAAAAGTATTACCTATTCAGACAAAGTAGATAAGTGATGAAAAGAAAGTGCATGGAGCTGAGAGTCAATATTCCACAGGCTGCCCCACTGGCTGTGTGACCTCTCAAAGGCTCAGTTTCCTCACTCGCTAAGCTTGTACTACTTCCCTGCAAGAATCCCTCGAGTTCACAGCTATGTGTGTCAAAGCCAAGGGGACCTGAGTGGTAAGAATTAACATGACCACCAAGCATCTAGGCCCAGCATCACATGTCATGTCAGTTCCTCCTGTCCTGGTGCGTGGCTACTCATCATACCTACTACGCATGGCATCATGCCTAAGCATGTCTGTTTGGCTTTGGTTTTTGTGCCTGCCAAGTTTCATTAATTTTGTTATGCTCCTTTAAAATCTTAATGTCACGGGGAATTCTCTAGTCACTTAAAAAATGTTTAAAAACAATGGTAGAGCCCTGGCCGGTTTGGCTCAGCGGTTGGAGCGTTGGCCTGCAGTCCAGAGAGACCCGGGTTTGGTTCCTGCTAAAGGCACGTACCTTGGTTGCGGTTTGTCCCTGGCCCTAGTTGGTCGTGCAGGTGGCAGCCACTTGATGTGTCCCTTTCACGTTGATGTTTCTCTCTCTCTCTCTCTCTCTCTCTCTCTCTCTCTCTCCCTCCCTCCCTCCTTCCCTCCCTCCCTCCCTCCTACTCTATCTGAACAAAAAATGGAAAGATGTCCTTGGGTGATGATGAAAAAAAAAAACAAACAAAACAACAACCCATTGGTAGAACCTAGTTTCTTGGAGCCTCTTTCCATCTACTGAAGGGCTTCTGCAGCCCAGCTCTGAAAGGCAGCCATCTTGTGAAAATAAGCAGCCTGGTTCCAGAGCCCAGGTTGCGTCAAGGATTCACCACTCTCAGTCTGGATGGGTCACTGTACAGCCTCTGACCAAAGGATGATGCCCGACCCCCCTGAAGGGCTGTTTTAAAAGACACACTGTACCCATCATATAGCCATGTGGCACCAGGAGAGCCAGGGAACACGTGGGTTATGAAGCTTTAGTCACAAACAGGGCAGGTCTGCAACTTACTGCTGAAACGAACAGGCTGCGCCACATTCACTGCGTGGAAATGGGTGGGGTCGCCACCTCGGGCCCGCCCCTGCCTCGGATCCACAGCCTCCTTCCCATGGTAAGGACGTGAATCCCCAGTCACTTCTGAAAGCAAAAAGAGAAATGGGCTGTAAGCATGGCTCTCTCAGCAGCATGGTCAGACTACTTGAGGCTGGGAGGACCAGATGTGGGTACAACAAATATTCCATTTATTCAGGTTTTGTTAAGAACTCAAAAATGTTGATGTTTGTATCAAATGGGTCACATGCACATCTTATTAAAATTATTCCTTAGTCATTCTTTTTACCATTATCATGAAATGAGGTCTCCCCTTCATTGCATTTTCTAATAGGATACTGCTAGCGCACACAGGGTCAGCTATTCCTGTTGAAAATCCCTCAATAGCTCTGGCCCCACGGGAATTTCTTTCACAGCCTAGGCAGCCCTCCTGCCCCCAGACTGCCCAGGAGCCTCCTGTTAGCATGACTGGGGGAACCACTGTGTGTGTGACCCTCTCAGCAACGGGCCTGAGTCAACTTCTGTCCACCTCCCTGCTGGTCCCTCTCTCAGCCTCAAGGGTACATTCCTTCCTGGCTCCATGGTGCTTGGCACTGGTCCTGGTGTGCAGCAGGCCTCAATGCCTGGTTGGAAGTGTAAACGGGAAGCTGAAGACAAGGAAGAATTCTAGTTTTACGTATCATGACCTAATAGTAATTTGCAGGTCGGTCCTTCTAGTCTCTTTTTGGGATTCTCCAATCCTCTGTGAGAGGAGAACCATTCTCCTCCCTCTCAGAGAAGGAAGGAGATTTACCAAAGGCTCAGAGGCTATGTCCCTCCTGAGCCACCATCCTTCCCACTCTGCTTGCTTGGGGGCACCAGGGTGCACAGCAAGGGACAGCTGTCAGGACAGATAGTGACACACTTGGTCTGCACTTCTGCACACAGACCACAGACACTCAAACCCTTGGTATGCATGGGTGTACTAAAGCAAATGATATAGTGGGCATGGTATGGCTTGGCAAGGGTCCTGGCATGGCATGGGGGAGGTGGAGAAACATAGTAGATAAAGGGCAAGGGGTTGCAGGGCGGGGTGGTGTCCCACATATCCACCTCCCGTGACTCTGTGGTTGGTGATTAGCCTCACTGACTAAAGATGACTAAAGCTTCTCCAGACTCTGATATTGTTTTTATTTAATAAATAATCTATTTTCTCATTATAAAATAACAAATATGAAATATTTGAAAAATATGAAAGTTTGAAAAGACAAATCATATTCACCATTCACTCTCTTATTCTACAAAAATTCTTAATACTCTTTAGGATTAGCTCTAAGCTTAAGACTAGAAACAGCTTTCCATATTCTTAAATAAACTTAAGAAGATCACTTTAGCCCTGGCCGATTTGGCTCAGAGGTTAGAGCGTCGGCCTGCGGTCCACAGAGACCCGGGTTTGGTTCCCACTAAGGGCATGTACCTCGGTTGTAGTTTGTCCCTGGCCATGGTTGGGTCATGTGTGTGGCAACCACTCGATGTGTCCCATTCACGTTGATATTTCTCTCTCTCTCTCCCCCTCCCACTCTATCTTAACAAAAAATGGAAAAATGTCCTCGGGTGAGGATAAAAGAAAAAAAAGATCACTTTAAATGACTGCACAGTATTCTGTGAAAAGATTTCTTTCTTTTTCTTTTTTTTTATCCTCACCCGAGGACATTTTTCCTTTTTTTATTTTTTTTGTTCAGATAGAGTGGGAGGGAGGGCGGGAGGGAGGGGGAGAGAGAGAGAGAGAAACATCGACATGAAAGGGACACATCAAATGGTTGCCACCCGCACGACCCAACCAGGGCCGGGGACAAACTGCAACCAAGGTACACGCCCTTAGCGGAACTGAACCCGGGTCTCTCTGGACCACAGGCCGACGCTCTAACCGCTGAGCCAAACTGGTTGGGGCTGAATAGATTTCTTTAACTGACCACCATCTCCTACAGTACAAAGTTTAGGTTATTTGCATTCTTCCATTTCTCTAAGGCTTGCACTGAATGACTTCTACAGAAATGTTTATGTCTCATCATTTCCTTCTGAGACCCTGGGCAGTTATGAGCCCCAGCAGATTTGGCTCTCTCCCTCACTAAGAATTGAGGACAGTATTTCCAGCTCCTTCTCAGGCATGTGATGGAAATCAGGTGCCATTTCATCATAGATCATTCTAAAATATAAAATGTGCTACCAGTGCCTGGCTGATGTGGCTCTGTGGCTGATTGCTGACCCATGCACCAAGAGGTTGCTGGTTCGATTCCTGGTCAGGACACATGCTGGGAGGTGGGCTCAATCCCCAATAGGGAATGTGCAGGAGACAGATGATCAATGTTTCTTTCACACTGATGTTTCTCTTTCTCTCTCCCTCTCCCTTCTCCTCTCTCTAAAAATCAATTAAAAATATTTAAGATGCAGCCAGTGTGGCTCAGTGGTTGAGTATCGACCCATGCACCAGGAGGTCGCCAATTCGATTCCCAGTAAGGGCATATGCCCAGGTTGTGGGTCAAATCCCCAGTGGGGAGCATGCAGGAGGCAGCCAATCGATGTTCTCTCTTATCGATATTTCTCTCTCTCTCCCTTCCTCTCTCTCTCAAATCAATAAAGAAAAAAGTATTTAAGCTCCCCAGAGCCCTGGGAAGGAGTGAGATGGCCACCGTCCTGCGTGGCCACAACTCAGCAAAAGCTCTGAGCGCCCTCCAAATACCAAGTGTTCCCACATAGTTCCAATCCAGTCCGCCCTCCCTCTGCCGGAGCCCAAGGACATTAACAAGTGCTGGTAAAGACCTGCAAGATAATTTTCTGAAGGCTCTGGCAGTGAGAGAAGAAGACAATCGCAACGAAAAAAGAGAGAGTAAGGGAGAGGAAAAGAGAGATGGAAACATCGATGAGAGAGAACATCGATTGGCTGCCTCCTGCATGCCCCCCAAAGGGGATCGGGCTCACAACCTGGGCATGTGCCCTGACCGGGAATCGAACCAGCGACCTCTTGGTGCATGGGTCGACACTCAACCACTGAGCCACTATGGCCAAACAGGACTATACAAGTTTTGTAAGCCATATTGTCCTGCTTTGTAATGTAAAGATTAAGTGTAGTCTCATCATAATATTGAGTATTTAACAGAAAATGCAGATGAAACACTTGGCATACTACATGATACATGACAAGTATTTAATAAATAATATGATTTCTGCAGTAAAAGAAAATTATAACATTGGTGGAGCTATAGTTGTGAATAAAATAGAAGTTTTAGAAAATATTTAGTAGTTTTGTTGATAATTTTGAAGGGGAGCACTGAATACTTTTGAGTCTCCCTATAGAAAAGATGGTTTAATGGGTTCCCTGAGACAATCAGATATTTATAGATTTTATTAGGGATCTAAAGATTAATGGTCACTGGCAAGACATTATAGCAATCAGAATAGTAAGAAAAGATACTTTAAGTTATGAATTTTTATGTTGTGGGAAACGACATTCCATTTTATTAATTTTCTGCTCTATGCAAACCACTTTGCTATTGTCTTAACAAAGATGAAAAAGACATGGTCCTTCCTACAGTGTTTCTAGTGTAGTATGATTACATAACTCTTTTAAGTGGCTAAGTGGCAGGGTGGGATGGGGTGGGTGAAGTTGTTATTTAGATGGCAGTAAACTAAGAATCCTGGATTTATTGAATAGAAAAAAACAAAAATAAAATATCCCTTCCTAACTGTACACTCATGAAGATTGTAATGAAATATCATGTGCTGTTTCAGGCTGGGGAAGGGGAACCTGTTGACAAGTATTTTCTCACTGAATGTTGACTGTGCAAATAGTTACATGGCTGACTAGTTTGGGCTTTGAAATATGCATTATTGAGGCTGGTATAGAGCACTGCTTACGCTTTTACTTCAGAGGCATTCAAAGAAACCACTGTAGGTGGATCAGGAAAACCTATGAATTAGGCAGTTCCTAATATACCCATTTCCTGTGTTGAAATCTCTATGAAACATAGAATTGCGTTGTATATGACCAGTAACATTGTGCTGACATGATCTTTTCCCTCCTTGCTATTTTCCAACTTGTATAAAATGTTCCCTTTTAAGAAAATGAAGGTATTATACAGATGTTTATTTCCTTTTTAATCGAATCCATGCTTGTCCACTAATAAACCCTTATGAAAAATTTTAAAAATTGTTTTGGCTCAGCAGTTATAGAGTGTCGACCCACAGACTAAACAGTCGTGGGTTCAATTCTGGTCAAGGGCACGTACCTCGGTTGCGGTTTGGTCCCCCGGCCCTGGTCACCGTCATGCGGGAGGCAACCAATTGATGTCTCTCTCTCACATCGCTATTTCTCCCCCCCACCTCCTCATTCTATCTGAAAAAATAAAAAATGGAAAAATAACCCTGGGTAAGAATTTAAAAAAAATTTTTTTAAATACATAAAAATAAAAAAAATATTTAAAAAGTAAATAAAAATAAAAGAAGGGGAAAGGCACCCTGGCTGGTTTGGATCAATGGTTAGAGCATCGGCCTGCAGACCAGAGAGACCTGGGTTCAGTTTCCGCTAAGGGCATGTACCTTGGTTGCAGTTTGTCATCGACTCCAATGTGGGTGGCAACTAGTCGAAGTGTCTCTCTCACATCGATGTTTCTCTCTCTTCCTCCCTCTCTCCCTCCCGTTCTATCTGAAGATAAATGCAAAAATGTCCTCCGGTGAGGATAAAAAAATTAAAAAAAGGGGGAAAGGCTTTGGTTAAGGAGATGGTGCCGATGACAGACAAGGGGTTCCTGAGCATGCTGGAAAAGTAGGAGATGGGCGAGAAGGCAGACCACAGGATCAGCATCCTTACAGACCTCTCAGGACCCCTCTGACAAGAAAGAATTTGCTTCTGAGACCAGATAGTGTTTCCCCATTAGGGCCAGCTGTAGGGTGTGCAGCTCTCACAGCTGAGCTGATTCATATGCAGCTATGCAGACACCCCAAAGCAACTTTCCCTCTCCCTCCATCCCCTCTCCATTTCAGTGTGCTTGGCACTGTCCTAGGCATGGGGAATACTGCAGTGGGCAGTGAACAAAACAGCAGATGATCCT